GCCACCACGCCCGACTAATTTCTTGTATTTTTAGTAGAGACAGGGTTTCACCATGTTAGCCAGGTTGGTTTCGATCTCCTGACCTCGTGATCCGCCTGCCTCGGCCTCCCAAAGTGCTGGGATTACAGGCTTTACAGCCACAGTGCCCAGCTGACACACATTCTTAACATACTAGGAAGACACCAATGGCACTGCTAGTAGTCTAATTGATTAGATATCGATGTTGCCCTTTTGCTTCAGGCATTCCATAGATCACGCTTGCTCAGTGAAACAGTGGACTTTATAACTATCTCATAAAGTTTTGACAAAATAATCCTCACCTTTTAGTGCAGAGAAATGATACCAGCATTCCGAACTTTCCTGAAGAGGCATGATAAGACCATTGTTACCAAAATGCTGAGGTATGTTCTGAGGGAGAGCACAGCAGGGACCCCCCCCCTAGAGAGGGCATTCCTGGGCCTTCAGAGACCAGAGTTCCTTTCTCTATGCCTCATACAGCCTGCCGGAGCTGCTGTTGTACCCATCCCGAAGATTTGAAGAATATCTTAATCTTCTCTACGCTGTCAGGCTTCATACCCCTGCAGAGCATGTTGACCGTGGGGACTTGACCACTGCAATTGACCAAATCAAAAAATATAAAAGTTATATAGATCAGGTTGGTTGCTGATAAGAATCTGCATCCTTTAAACATGTTACAATGCCTTTGTGATACTCCCACTCAAAGAGTCTGAGACACCTTATCCTCTTGTGGGGTTCTTTGCTTTAAAGTCTTTCATCCTTTTAATGCTAAATCAACAGTGTGTTCAGTGATTTCCAACACTAAGGGCATCTATTCTAAGCCAAGCAACATGAGACAATGTTTTCAGATATTTGTACAAATACAATAAAATTTTTATGAAAGTTTGAAGAATGAAGTATTTGGACTGATTTTTTACACAACTAAAAGGCAAAAAAATAAAAAATAAAAAATAAGTAAAATCCTTTGTTTCTGAAAGTACTTTTTTGTTTGTTTGTTTGAGACGGAGTCTCCCTCTGTCACCCAGGCTGGAGGGCAGTGGCGCGATCTCAGCTCACTGCAAGCTCTGCCTCGCGGGTTCAGACCATTCTCCTGCCTCAGCCTCCGCAGTAGCTGGAACTACCGGCGCCCGCTACCACGCCTGGCTAATTTTTTGTATTTTTAGTAGAGACGGGGTTTCACCGTGTTAGCCAGGATGGTTTCAGTCTCCTGACCTTGTGATCCACCCGCCTTGGCCTCTCAAAGTGCTGGGATTACAGGCGTGAGCCACCGGGCCCGGCCTCTGAAAGTACTTTCAATGCATTAATTAGCTTTCCTGCCTCAGTGAGTACGATGGTCATAATTATTATCTGAAGAAGTAATTAAGCACCTTGGAGACAGTACTATCATTCTGAAAATATTATTGTATTGTGCATACTGTAAATAGGCATCTGGGCTGAATGTAAACTGCTAACATATTTTTCCATGAAGATACTTTTTTGCATCCAATTTTGTCACTTGCCTTTGTTTTAAAACATTGGGTACAGAGAATTGAATTTTTTTTTTTTTTTTTTTTGGAGACAGAGTCTGGCTCTGTCACCAAGGCTTGAGTGTAGTGGTGTGATCTCGGCTCACTGCAACCTCTGCCTCCCTGGTTCCAGCAATCCTCCCACCTCAGCCTCTTGAGTAGCTGGGACCACAGGCAGGCGCCACCATGCTTGGCTTTTTTTCTTTTTTTTGGTAGAGATGGGGTTTCACCATGTTGTCCAGGCTGGTCTTGAACTCCTGAGCTCAAGCCATCTGCCCATCTCAGCCTCCCAAAGTGCTGGTATTACAGATGTGAGCCACTGCACCCAGCCCAGAAATTGGAAACTTTCTATTATAACATATGAAAATACCAAGCCCTGTATCAAGTGCCATAAAATATTTTAATCTATTTCTTTTATGAATAAAAATGTCACAATTTTAGTTTGCCTAAAAGTACTTTTTTTCCCCTAGATGAAGCAAAACATCAATATGAAGGATCATCTGTCAGATATACAGAGAATCATCTGGGGATGCCCTGTATGTATTCTTAGAAACTTGCTATATCTCATGCTCATGAATACAACCTCCAATCATTGGCAAAAGGAGACCTACAGACCCCAAGGCAGCTACTATTTGTGGAATGCCTGCTACGTGCCAGGCACTGCCACGCCCTCCCATTTCACATCTTTCTTATCTGCAAGGTTGCTCTATAAGAAGGGGCACAAGTGAGCTTGCCCCTATCCCATAACTTTTCGATAGTCTTTGTTCCTTTATTGGTATTACTGTGATCACGATGCCCTTTGAGGAAAGGGGCCATGTGTTCTACTTATTTTCTTTTTTTCCGAGACGGAGTCTCGCACTGTCGCCCAGGCTGGAGTGCAGTGGTGCAATCTCAGCTCACTGCAAGCTCCACCTCCCAGGTTCACACCATTCTCCTTCCTCAACCTCCCGAGTAGCTGGGACTACAGGAGCCCACCACCACACCTGGCTAATATTTTGTATTTTTAGTAGAGACGGGATTTCACCATGTTGGCCAGGCTGGTTTCCAACATCTGACCTCAGGTGATCCACCCGCCTCGGCCTTCCAAAGTGCTGGGATTACAGGCGTGAGCCACTGCGCCCAGCCCACTTCTCTTTCTGAATAGTTCCCTTCTTATCCCCCAACCCCCAACTTTGTTTTTGATATTAGGAAAGCACTTACAAATAAAACTATAACTTCAGTAGTTTTAAAACTTTGACAAAAATTACTTTTTTTTCCCTTAAATATAGTTTTCTTTGTCAATACTGTGGTCTTTCTAAGAAAATCTGTTTCATAAACAGTGAAAACATTCACTTTTTCATGTTTGAACTGTGTTTTACTTAACATTTGCATATTCTGGGATATAAAATCGTTTGCAGTAGTAAGTTTTTTTATTTAAAAAAATTTACATGTGCTTCTATTTTGTTTTTGATTTATAGACTCTATCAGAAGTAAACAGATATCTAATTAGGGTACAAGATGTAGCCCAACTTCATTGCTGTGATGAAGAAATAAGTTTCTCTCTAAGGTAAACAATAGTTAACTATCCTAAGGCTGTGGACACCTTCCAAGCAGGTGACTGTCTTACTCATCCTGTAGCTCCAGCATTCAGTACAATGTCTGACACAGTAGGTTTGAAATGAATCTGCGCATTAGACTGAAAAGTTACAGACAACTCCCTCTGAGATAGTGTAGGCTATTTTATCACCATGTTCGCATTCCAGCCAGCTACTGGGTAGAATGGGAGAAGAAAATTGTCCCTGCCGGGACCACAAACTCCACATAAGCAGGCATTCTAAAGGTTGGTCACTTTTCTTTCTTTTTTTTTTTTTTTTTTTTTTTTTTTGAGATGGAGTCTCACTCACTGCTGCCCAGGCTGGAGTGCAGTGGTGCAATCTCCACTCACTGCAACCTCCGCCTCCAAGCTATTCTCCTGCGTCAGCCTCCCTGAGATTACAGGCACCCGCTGCCATGCCTGGCTAATTTATGTATTTTTAGTAGAGGTGGGGTTTCACCATGTTGGCCAGGTTGGTCTCAAACTCCTGATCTCCAGTGGTCCACCTGCCTCCGCCTCCCAAAGTGCTGGGATTACAGGCATGAGCCACTGCACCCGGCCACTTTTCTACTTAGCTAAGCTCCAAGTGTTGCAGGATTTTCACACCAATGATCTGCTCAAATGTAAGAAAGAGAGGACCAATTTGTTATCCTCAGATAGTTATTGAGGTCAGTTTTTAACAAGACCTTATGCTATTTAGTTTGCACGATGCTCAGAGTAACCTAAGAAAAAAAGATGGAAGGATGCTACTTTTTATAAATTAGTATCCCCTGTACTCCTTTAGAACAAGGGTGGGCAAAGTTTTCTGTAAACGTTCACATAGTAAATATTTCACGTAGTAAAGATTTTGCTGGCCAAATGATATCTGTGGCAACTACCCAACTTTGCTATTGTAAAACAAAATCAGCTCTACCAATGATGCAACACATAACAAGTGATACACTATTGATAAACCGTACAAGATATAAATGAACAAACATGACTATGTTCCAATTAAACTTCATTTACAAAAACAGGTGTAGGCCATAGTGTGGTGATCTCTGCTTTAGAAAACTGTTCATCAAACTATGAATAAAATAATAGAAATAAAATAACAAAATAATTAATAGAATAAAATAAAATTCTATTCTCATTCTTTCTTTCTGTATGTAAGTTTGATTTTCAGTATTAATGACAAAGAGTGACTCAGCAAACAGCAACCAAAGGGACAGGAATTAACTCCTTTAATTTGTTCAACTCCAATAAGCGTAATGAAAATTGATTTGTTATTTCAATGAATATTTCAACAAATGTTCCTCAACGGCACAGGGTAGCAGGGTAGGTGGAAGAAATCAGTCCCCTCACCTCCATCCTTACCTAGACTAGATCTTAAATGAAAATCAAATCACACAATATGTCACTTTTCTCATTGTCATGACATTTTTGTTTTCTTTGATCTGTTTTTTGTTTGTTTGTTTGTTTTGTTTTGTTTTTTGGCTTGTAGCAATAGAAAAGAGCTACAATGATGGAAAGAAACTACCTACCAAACCAGCAATTCTAAACACACTGCTTTGGTAGAAGACATTCTGTGATGATTCCAGTTTTTGATTATTAGATTATTCTACATTCATGTATTCCTTCTCAAACACTCTTCCTTTCTTTACATAAGTTTGATTTTCTACATCATTTTTCTTCTCTCTGCAGAACTTCTTTTAACATTTCTTAATGTTCTACTAAGGTCAATGAATTCTCTCAGTTTGTGTGTGTGTAAAAAATTTATTGTTTGAAGGAAATTTTGCTGGATACAGAATTTTAGGTTGGTGGCTTTTTTCTTTTAACACTTTGCTTATTTCATTCCACACTCTTCTTACATACATGGTTTCTGAAGAGAAGTTCAGTGTAATTTTTATCCTTGTTCCTCTATAGGTAATATAAACCAACAATACAATTCTAAGCCTCCCAGCCGACTGAATGGACTCCTCCTGTCAGCCAAGGGGATTCCAAAGTAAACCTGAAAAACTAGTTCAGGCCACGATAGGAAGAGGGGATTGGATATGCCTCATTATACTCTCCTCCCTTAAGTATTCAGCCACAACTGACCCAAATTAACATTGAAACAGAGATCTTAAGACTGATAAAATGAACTCCTTGTAGAAATAAGATACCAAATTCCAACTCATCTCCAGTATTGTATCACATGGCAGATAGCAGACCCTGAAATAAATGAGAGTATTTTACCTCAAAATATATTTCTTTGACATATTTTGAAATGGCCCTGCAAAGTAATCTCTTTTGGGAAAATCTCCTCTTTCCAGGTCTTTTCCTGATCCAGGAGAGATTTGGCTAAGAGTATGGTATCTTTTAAGGTCTGATAAGAGACATTTACCATCTATTCTCCCTGAAGCCTGCTACCTGGAGGCTTCATCTACATAATAAGAACACTGGTCTCCACAATCTCTTATCTAAAGCCAGACACTCCTTTCTACTGATTCCAGATCTTCAGATAATAACTCTTTCAACCAATTGCCAATCAAAAAATCTTTTGAATCCCTCCATGACCTGGAAGCCCTTAATTCAAGTTGTCCCATCTTTCTGGATCAAACAAATGTAAAACTTACATGCATTGATTGATGTTTGCCTGTAACTTCTGTCCCCCTAAAATGTATACAATCAAGCTTTAACCCAACCGCCTTGGGTACATTTTCTCAGGACTTCTTGAGACTGTGACCCAGGCCCTGGTCACTCATATTTGGCTCAGAATAAATCTCTTTATTTTACAGAGTTTGACTCTTTGTTGACAGTAAGGTGGGTTTTTGTATTCTCTGAAATGACAAAGATTTTCTCTTTTATTTTCTACATCTGAATGTATTATGCCTAGATGTAGTTTTTTTTTTTTTTTTTTTTTTTTTTTTTGGGGGGGTATTTATCCTGTTTTATGTTCTCTGAGCTTCCTGGACTTATGGTTTGCTGTCAATTATTTTGTAAAATCTCCAGTCATTATTACTCCAGATATTTATGCATATGATTTGCCTTTTGTAACTGTCCCTATGACTTGGATATTCTGTTCTTTCCCCTGGTGGTCCCTACCTGCTACCCCTACTTTGTCCTTGGTCTTTTTTCTCTCTGCTTTTCAGTTTGGCAAGCTTCTATTGACATATCTTCAAGCTCACTGATTCTTTCCTCAGCTGTGTCCAGTGTATTAATGACCACACCAAAGGCATTCATTTTTGTTATATTTATTTCTGGTTATTACCTTTTCTTTCTTAGAGTTTTGGTCTCTCTTCTTACATTACCCGTCTGTTCTTGCATGTTGTCTACTTTTTTCCATTAAAGTCCTTCACATATTAATCATATTTAACTTTCTGCTCTGATAATTCCAGAATCTCTACTATATCTGAGTCTAGTTTTGATGCTTGCCCTGTCTCTTCAGTCTGTGTATTTTGCCTCTTAGTATCATGTGTGTGTGTGTGTGTATATATATATATATATTTTTTTTTTTTTGAAACAGAGTGTCACTCTGTCACCTAGGCTGGAGTGTAGTAGTGCAATCTAGGCTCACTGCAGCCTCTGCCTCCTGGGTTCCAGCGATTCTCCTGCCTCAGGCTCCTGGGTAGCTGGGATTACAGGCACGTGCCACCACACCCAGCTAATTTTTGTATTTTTAGTAGAGACGGGGTTTCACCACATTGGCTAGGCTGGTCTTGAACTCCTGACCTTAGATAATCTGCCCACCTTGGCCTCCCAAAGTGCTAGGATTAAAGGATTGAGCCACCGTGCCCAGCTAGAACCACTTATAATTTTTTGCTGAATACCAGACATGATGTGTCAGGTAAAAGGAACTAAACAGGCCTTCAGTGTGAAGTTTTATGTTTATCTAGCTGGGAGTTAGGTCATATTTGCTGTTTGTTGTAGCTTGGCGTCAGAGGCTACAGTTTTCTCCCATGTCCTTGTTTTTTTCTCCCTATCATCTTTGGGTTTCCCTAGAGATCCCTTCTTAAATAGGGTCTGAGCCTTGCAGTTATTTTAGCTGTAATCCCATTATCATACCAGAGTCCTACTGCTGCGGTAGTTAAGATGTCAGAGGAGGAAAAATATTCTACAGTTCTGTGATCAATTTTCAGTCTTTTAATGAGTCTTTTACTTCTGGATTGTGACCTTCACAAGTGCTTCTCAGTTTTTGTTTTTCGTTTTTTTTTTCACCTCTAACATGAGACAGTAAGGTTAGAAGTGGCTGGAATTGGGTATTTCCCTTCTCCCAGGTTGATTAGCCTCTGGTAAAATCTCAGTTGGTTAGGTTCTAGTAGAAGTTTCCCTTGAGGTCAGGCCTTTGTTAAGAACAAAATACTGACATTTAAGAAAGATGTTTCGATCCTGAGCAAGATGGCCGAATAGGAACAGCTCCAGTCTCCAACTCCC